TACTGGATAAATTACTAATTTCTAGGCACCAGACTCTCTATGTGTGTCATAAATGTACGGCTCATCCAGAATAGAAATGACTGCATAGCCGGGCTCGGTGGCTCAGCCTATAATCCTAGCACTTTGGGAGGCTGAGGTGAGTGGATTGCCTGAGCCTGCGGGTTCGAGACCAGCCCAAGCAACCTGGCAAGACCACATCTCTACAATAAAATAAAAATAGCCAGGCATGGTAGTACGCATCTGTAGTTCTGGCTACTTAGAAGGCTGAGGGGGAGGGATCGCTGGAGCCCCGAAGGTCGACGCAGGGGTGGCCGTGAGCATGCGTGCCACTGCATTACAGCCTGGGTGAAGGAGACTCCAACTCAAAAAAAGAAAGAAATGACTGCATGACCTCTATCTCATTGTGGTTTTAATTGGCATTTCCCTACTGATGATTGTGAACATCCTTTCACATGCTTATCATCTGTATCCTTTTTGATGAAATGTCTGTTCATGTCTTTTGCTCATTTCCTAAATGGATTGTTTGTTTGTTCTTAACTGCTTAGATTTGACATTTATTTAAATATTCTATAATATTTATTTATATATTCTATCTATTAGTCTTTTGTCAGATACATGGTTTGCATACCTTTGCTTCTTCTCTGTTGCTTGTCTTTTCACCTTTTAACAATGTCTTTTGCAGAGCAAAAGTTTTAATGTTGATGAGGTCCAATTTATCCAATCGAGTCTAAGAACTCTTTGTCTGGACCCAGATTCCAAAGATTTTCTTTAATTTTTTTTCTAAGAGTTTTATGCTTTTGCACTTTACATTTAAGTCTGTGATCCCTTTGGGGCTAACTTGTATTTAGATATAAGGTCTACATTAAGATTCATTTTTTTGGCCTATAAATATCCAGTACCATTTTTTGGAAAGGCTGTCCTCCTTCACGACATTGCTTTTGCACTTTTGTCAAAAATCAGTTGGCTGTGTCTTAGGGAGGAGCTATTACTGGGTTCTCTATTCTGGTCCATTAATCTATGTGTCTATCCTCTGCTACTATGACACCGTCTTTATACTGTAGCTATAATACTTAGTACTGGGTAGAGTAATTCTTCCCACTTTATTCTCCTTTTTCAAGATTGTTCTATAGCTGTTTTAGGGCCTGTGCCTTTTTATACACATTTTAGGATAAGTTTGTCTATGTCTACAAAAAAACCTTGCTGGGATTTTGATAGGAATCACATTAAACCTAGAAGTCAATTTAGGAGAAAATAGACCTCTTTACTGTATTGTGTTTATCAGATCTTTTTTATTTGTTTCTTCTCCATTCCTATAACTACTACTTGCAAGAAGAACACTTCTAGCTAATCCTGAATTACTTGACCAACCTTATACCTCTTCTTTGGATGGTGGCCTTCTGTTTTCCCCATTCACACTGCCTACTGTCACCAAAATGATAAGACTCAAGTCCTCCGCCATCAAGTTGCTCTCTTGTTTAGGACTCTTAAAAGGCTTTCTACTCCAGCCCCAGGCCCAGGCTGACCCTCTTATTCAAACTCCCCAAACATTCACTTCTTATTCGGTTTTGATATACCCAGGTAACTCACAACTCTGAATTGCTCCCTAAATAACAGCCAGGAATTCGTTCCTGCTGCTGATCAGTTTCCACTTTCTTCAAGTTTACCCAATGCAGGAGCTATTCCCTAAATAACCTGGTCATCTTGTACATGTTCACCCACAGTGGCAGGCTTAGCATATCTGACAACTAGAACAAGTGATTTTTAATGCCACCCTCCTCTGCAGAATGAAATTATGCTCAGTAATAAGCATATAATGTAATAACTATAATAATTTTTATTTTTTATTTTTAAAACAATTAACTTGAAAAGAATAAAACTACATTTTCAAGACATTCAAATTCAGTCAAATATTTTATGTACAAATTTAATTTGTACTTATGAAGCAAAAATATTATATGTTGCAGTTCACACTGTTTTACTATTTTAAACACAAAAACCTCAAGTGGCCATAATATGACTTATTTTTTATTCACCCTGTTTGTAATCACTGTGCTATTTTAATTTCACATTTACTGTTTAAAAGAAGGAGGTGTCATTCCACAAGAGCTGGAAACACAAACTGCACCTGAAACAAGGTCAAATAGTTCCAACCAATATGAGATTATTGTTAAAATGAATACTTGTAGTTAAGTCCACACACAAGGGAGCCTGGCTGTATAAGAGTTCTCCAAGTAACATTCATGTGGAATACAATGTTTATTAAAAGATAAGGAACAAAAATGTACTAATCTGTGTTCATTAAAGGATAAGTAATAAAAGTGTACTAATATATTTGCATATATTATTAAAACTCACAGTCCCTTGAAATGTTAACACAGAGTTACCCTATGATCTGGCAATTCCACTCCTAGGCATATATATATCCAAGAGAAATAAAAACATACATCTGCACAGAAATTTGTACCCAAATGTTCATAACAGCAATATTCATAATAGCTGAAAAGTGAAAACAACTTAAATATTTGTCAACTGATGACTGAATAAGTAAACTTTGGTACACAGAATGGAATCCAGTAAGTCCCCTACATATGAATGAGTTTTATTTGGAGAGCATGTTCATAAGTCCAAATTTAATCGTAAGCCCAAAAAAGTTAGCCTAGGTACCCAACTAACACAGTTGGCTGTATAGTATTGTAATAGGTTTAAATACTTTTTATACAAATAATTTGTTAAAAAATAAGCCATTTTTAATCTTACAGTACAGTGCCTTGAAAAGTACAATAGTACAGCACAATACAGTACAACAGTTGGCTTACGGGGGCTGGCATCATATTTGCACCTTTGAAAGTTCACAACTTGACTGGGCTCGGTGGCTCAGCCTGTAATTCCAGCGCTTCGGGAGGCCAAGGCGAGTGGACTGTCTAAGCCCACAGGTTCAAGACCAGCCCAGGCGACTTGGCGAGACCTCGTCTCTACAATAAATCAAAAATTAGCCAGGTGTGGTAGTGTGCGCCTGTAGTTATGGTTACTTGGAAGGCTGAGATGGAAGGATCGCCGGAGCCTTGCAGGTCGACGCTGGGGTGGCTGTGAGTGTGCCACTGCACTCCAGCCTGCGTGATGAAGTGAGACACCAACTCAAAAAGAAAAAAGAAAATTCACAACTTGAAAGTTCATATGTAGGGGACTTTATTATTTTGCAATGAAAAGGACTTAAGTATCAATACATGCTTTGACATGGATGTCCCTTGAAAACATTATAAGTACAAAAAGTTAGACACAAAATGCTACATACTGTAAGATTCCATTAACATAAAATGTCCAGAATAGGAAAATCTATAACGAGTAGATTAGTGGTTTCTCTCTCCTTCCTTCCTTCCTTCCTTCCTTCCTTCCTTCCTTCCTTCCTTCCTTCTTTCCTTCCTTCCTTCCTTCCTTTCCAGAGTCTCACTCTGTCACCCAGGCTGCAGTGCAGTAGCACATTCACGGCCACCACAGCCTTGACCTGCTGGGCTCAGGTGATTGTTCCACCTCAGCCTTCCAAGTAGCTGGAACTACAGGTGCATGCCAGCATGCCCTGCTAATTTTTTTTATTTATTGTAGAGACGAGGTCTCACCAAGTTGTCTAGACTGGTCTCGAACTCCCAGACTCAGGCAATCCTCTTGCCTCAACCTCCCAAAGTGCTGGGACTACAGGGTTGAGCCATCGCGCCTGGCCGGATTGTAGTTTCTTAAGGCCTAGGAATGGGGCAAGAGGTGGGAGAATGAGAACTGACTATTAATGGGTCCGAGGTTTCTTTATAGGGTGATGGAGATGCTCTAAAATAGATTGTAGTCAAGGTTGAACAGATCTGTGAATACCAAAAACCACTGATGTATACACTTTAAGTGGGTGAATGGTGTGGCATGTTATATCAATAAAACACTTTTTAAAAACAACAGTAGCTGGACACCAGGGCTCACGCCAACAATCCCAGCACTTTGGGAGGCAGAGGTGAGAGGACTGCCTGAGCCCAGGGGTTTGAGACTAGCCTGGGCAAATTGGAGAGATTTGGTCTCTACAATAAATAAGCCAGGTGTGGTGGCACGTGATTGTAGTCCCTTGGAAGGCTGAGGTGAAAGGATCGCCTGAGTCCAGCAGGTGGAGGCTGTGATGGTCATGATTGTGCCACACTGCACTGCAGCCTGGGTGACAGAGTGAGACTCTGACTCAAAAATAAGTAATAAACAAATAAATTTAAATAAATAAAAACAACAGTAAATGCAGAAATTGTTTAGAATTTTGACCAACGAAAGATTTTTTTGGGGACGAATATTTGAATAATAATCACTGTTAGAAGTATCATTACATGGTGATTAAGACCTGCTCTTAGTTGGTTTTACTGCCATTTTTAACTTTTCTGCATACAATGCACCCCTTATTTTGGACACAAGATGCCCCTCTCCACTGCTGCACCCTGGTCCATCCCTGTTGACATAGTCAGTTTATAACTACACCATGACCCATCTAGCGATTAGCTGATTATAAGTTGCTTCTGAGCAGTGAAAAGTCTAATTAGGGACTTATAAGAAATTTAAAATTTTCAAAAAGTGAGGTGATATCTATTTTAGGGGAGTAAAGAAGTAAAATCATGTACATAGTTAAAAGAATCTTCTATAGACTTCTTATTCAGAAATCACTGTTTTTGTTTTTTTTGTTTTGTTTTTTTTTTTCTGAGTTGGAGTCTCACTCTGTCGCCCAGGCTGGAGTGCAGTGGCATACTCACGGCCACCCCAGCGTCGACCCGCTAGGCTCAGGCAAACTTTCCTCCTCAGGCTTCCAAGTAGCCAGAGCTACAGGTGCATGATACCATGCTCGGCTAATTTCTGATTTATTGTAGAGACGAGGTCTTGCCAAGTTGCCTGGGCTGGTCTTGAACCCACGGGCTCAGGCAATCCACTCGTCTCGGCCTCCCAAAGTGCTGGGATTACAGGCTGAGCCACTGAACCCGGCCAGAAATTACTGTTTTTAACCTTGATGAGCACAGGATCTAGATTACTTGTACAGCTCACGACACCTCTTTGCAGAGTGGCTGTCGCCAACACAGACAGCCCTGTACCCATGACGCTGAACAGCCTGTAAGGTATAAATGTCTGCTGCTCTTTCCTCCAAACTAGTGAGAGCTTCTATTTCCGTAGCTGTGGTGGAGACACTGCCCCTGAGGTTATCTGGCCCTCTAGCCACAGATCAAGGTTCCTGCTTCTCAAGAGACCAGACCCCTGCTGCAGCAAGACTACTGCAAACTCCCCTTCAAACTGAGCCCCAGACTCCTGGGGCAGCCTCTATATTCTCCTCCCCCCTACCCTTCTCCTTCTATGTCCCTCTTCCTCCCACTCGCAGCATCACTGGCCCCACCTGAGGAGGACACATTTTTCCAAAGGTTCCCAGGCTCTGCCCTGGTCTGGTCACCCGTCCTCCACTACCCCACTGGGTCCAAGGAGTTTATAACCCTACTTTGAGGATAAGAGTGAGGGTTCTTGGAAACTCTGGCAATGTCATAAAATGGCGGTCAGGTCCTTTAGCATGTCAGGTGCTATTTTTAAAGAACATTTGTGTCCATTATCTTCTGTGATTCTTTCCATTTTTAGAAGCTAGACATTATCTCAATTTTGATGATAAGACTGAGGCTCAGAGAGATTAAATACCTTGTCCCAAGTCACACAGCCAGTAAGTGAAAGAACTGTGATGGAAACCTATGGTTTCTGCTTCCCATTCCAGTTCAGTATTACATAGAGGAGCAGACCACAGTGAAATTATAGTCTACATAGACATTTGTTGGCTGGGCTTGGAGCCCAACCACCATTTTAGATTTCTTCTTTCCATGGGAAAATGCATTTCAAATTCCAAACAATCAACATACAAGTGTTCTTCTAGAGCATAACTCATTTTTAATTTGGAGGCTTTCTCTATTGTCTCACCACTGAAGGTTTCATTCCATTATCTTCCTGGTGAGGACCCAAAGAAAGGATTGAAACACAAAGATTTTGGAGTCAGATTTGGGCCCACTTATAGGATATGGCCTCAAGTAAATTACTTAACTTATCTGAGTTTCAGTTTCTGTCTTTGTAAATTCAGGGCAATGTTATACATACAGGATTATCCTATGACTTAAATGAATAATGTATGCTTGGCCAGGGGTGGCGGTTTACACCTATAATCTCAGCCCTTTGGGAGGCTGAGGCAGGAAGACTGTTTGGCCCAGGAGTTCAAGACTAGCCTAAGCAACACGGTTAGCAAGATCTCATCTCTACAAAAAATTTAAAAATTATCCAGATGTTGTGGTGTGCACCTGCAGTCCCAGCGAGGGAGGCTGAGGTGGGAGGATCACTTGAGCCCAGGAGGTCAAGGCTGTGGTGAGCTGTAATTGTCTAATTGTGCTGCTGCTCTCCAGCCTGGGTGACAGAATGAGACCTGGCTCAAAAAAGAAAAAGAAAAAGGAATAACGCACGCCTGTAAAAATAATTGATGTGGTGCTTGGTAAAGAGTCTGCCTGCAATAACTGGAATATTATTGTTGTTTAAAGGGAAAGTCAGGCTGACTACTACCTTACAACCTGCGATATATCCCCACTGGTCAGGGATGGTCCTTGTTTATTCCTATTGTGCAAACGAAAGTATTAATAGCACTCTCTTTTTTTTATTCTTAAAGTGCCCCAATGTGGATGATAATCTATATGGTCACCCTACTTGGAGATGCCTTTTTTATTCTTAAAGTGCTCCAATGTGGATGATAATCTATATGGTCACCCTACCAAGAAGTCCCTAATCGCAGGGAAATCTGGTCTTTGTCAGTAGCATCACACCAGGGCTGATAGCTACTGTTTGAATGTTTCCAGAAGTAGCTTCTAGGTTCCCGTTGAAGATCTGAAGCCAGGAAGAGAGCTTGCAGGGGTAAGGGAGTCAAGCCAAAGGAACCAGCAGTCACGCAACTGTCTGGTCAGCCAGGAGCCCTGCCAAGGAGCCAGGCCACAAGGGCAGGGTGGGGGCTGGAGAGAGGGCCAAGACAGCAAGCCAAACAGGAGGTGAGGGGGAGCCAGGAGATGAGGTGTCAGGGACACCACTAGGGAGGTCAGCAAGGTGCCGGAAGGGCAATGGGTCTCACTGTGCCTGGGGGGAGAGGGTGCTGGACATCAGCCACCCGCCCCCCCTTGGGGCCTGGCTTGAGTGTTCCTTGTTTTTAAAGAGGCTGAGGCACTGTCTAGGTCACATCCGGGTTGCACCCTGCATGATACTGTGCCAGGGTTGATTGGTGACACTGAGAAGAATGTCAGTGACAACAAAGACCAAACATAAAGTGGCAGTGCCATTTAAACCTCCTGCCATGGTCCTATGAGTAGAATAGGCAGCTTATTTCCATTTTACCTGAGTACTTATAGAAAGCAACTGTACTTCTCACCAATGAGGTGTAAAGACTTAAAGTCTTACTTATCAAGAGGTTCCACAGTGAAAAGGAACAGAGAGCTGACAATCAGAACCAGGTCCTATCCTGCTTCTGTTTCTTCCTGACTCTGAGTTTTTAGGTGTCACTTCACCTCCCTGAGTTTATTTTCCACACCTGTCAATGGAGATTATTGTCTCCATTGAAATAGAGAAATAGAGAGTATGGGACTGTAAGCATTAAAAAGACTGTGTGTAGCTGGGCGTGGTGGTTTAGCCTGTCATCCCAGCACTTTGGGAGGCCGAGGCGAGAGAACTGCCTGAGCCCAAGGGGTCGAGACCAGTCTGGGCAACTCGGTGAGACCTCTTCTCTACAATAAAAAAATCACAAAAATTAGCTGGGCGTGGTGGTGTGTGTCTGTATTTCCAGCTACTTGGAAGGCTGACGTGAAAGGATCACCTGAGCCAAGCAGGTCGAGACTGCGGTGGCTGGGAGTATGTCACTGCCCTCCAGCCTGGGTGACAGAGTGAGACTCCTACAAAAAAAAAAAAAAAAAAAAAGTGTGTGCTACACAGATACAAGCCAGAGACACAGCCCTAATATAATGTTAAAATGGTAGGTGTTTTTAAAATAAACACGTATCGCTTATATTAAGAAAAAAAGCAGATGGGCTCAGTGGCTCAGCCTGTAATCCCGCACCTTTGGGAGGCTGAAGTGAGTGAATAGTCTGAGCCTACGGGTTCGAGACCCGCCTGGGCAACTTGGCGAGACCTCATCTCTACAATAAATCAAAAAATCAGCCGGGCATGGTAGCGCATGCCTGTACTTCTGGCGACTTGGAAGGCTGATGTGAAATGATCGCCAGAGCCCAGCAGGTCGAGGCTGCAATGGCCGGCGACAGAGTGAGACTCCAACTCAAAAAAAAAAAAAGAAAGAAAAAAAGCTCAGAAAAAAATGACATATTTTAAAAAGAATATAGCTGGTGTAAACATAATGAACAAATTGTAGCACTGTATCAGAATCAGGACAACGTCAAACACTAAAGAAATGTTCATTTACACTGTGGGTAATATGTTAGTGGGAATTGCAAACCTTTCCTTCCAGAAACATACAACAGGTAGAAAACATAAACTTTTTCTCAAAAGATTGGAATAGATACATAGATGATAGGAAATAGTGGAAAATTAATATTAATGGAAATTTAGAGTCTCCTTTTGAAGAAGGAAGAGCAAAATTTCTTTCCAACCGACATTCCTGGTTCAAATCAGAATGCTGAGTTTAGCTGTTTTGGTCCAGTATTTCCCACATATGGAGCAAACAGCACCTTTGATCGGGGCAGCATAATGTTACAGAAAACACATGAGCTCTAGAGTTTGACAACTCTGGGCTCCTATCCAAGATGGCCCTTAGTCTTCTATATGACTTCAGGCAAGTGGGAGCTCTCCTCTAGAAAATGAAGATAGAAGTATTCAACAAATAGGGCTGAATCAAATAACATCTGCCATACTTCAAGTATAGTGCGTGGCACAGAGGAGGGACTAGGAATGGAGGTTCTCATCATCACTGTGAGAGTGCCTTGACCTCTACCTAGCACTGCCAGGAAGTCAGGGACAAAGACCATGACAACTGCTTGCTACTTGTCAATGTGAGTAAGCAGAAGGGCAAGGCTGCCACAGCCAGGGAGCATGTATACAACTGTAGACCTGGTGTGTGTGTGTGTGTGTGTGTGTGTATAGAGAGAGAGTGTGTGTGTGTGTGAGAGAGAGAGAGAAAGAGAGAGAGAGAGAGAGCCCTGTGCCCTCTGTTACAGTGTGTGTGTGTGTGTGTGTGTGTGTGTGTGTGTGTGTGTGAGAGAGAGACAGAAAGAGAGGAGAGAGAGAGAGAGAGAGAGAGAGAGAGGGAGAGAGAGTGAGATCCCTGTGCCCTGTGTTCCAGTTAGACCACATCTAGGGCATTGGATACAGCTGTAAGAGTTCATCATAAAATACACGGAATACAGAGGAAGAGGAGATAAACACTGTATTTCATTTGGAGAATGAGTGAAGAGCTGAGGGATTTAACACGGAAAAGAGAACTCTAAGAGCAAAGCGAGAACTTTTCAAACAATTAGAGAATTTCAAGCAGAAGTAGGTGAAGACATATTCTTTGTGACTCTGGAAAGCAAAGCAGGACCCAAAGACAGACATGACAGATTTAACTCAATAGTAGAAAGGACTCTTAATCCATCAAAGCACCTAAGGGAACAGAGGTCACCTTGTGAAGTGTTGCTGAGTAAAAGCTGGGTGATTCCTGGGTCCAGGATTCCTGCATTGGATTGGACTGGGATTAGCTGCCGTACGAGATTCCTTCTGAGTCGATTAACCTTCAATAGAGCCCCGGTTTTCATAATACTGCTAAAATTGCTTTGTCCTTATTAAATTATATTTTATGAATCTCAAGTTCTTTGAAATGGTTGATCAAGGTGTTAATGCCTGAAGACATGAAAAGCTAGAGGAAATAGTGAATTTAGGGCTGTTAAGGCTGTTTTCTTTTTGTCATTCAGAATGCTTTTGACAATTTTCATTCCAATCTAAAACTCATGAATATTGATGAGTTCCCAGGTACTATATACACACTTTCCCTGACTCCTCTTCAAAACCCAACATGGCATCAAAGAGTCCTGTTTATTTGTTTGTCCAAAATTCAG